GTGTGTGTGTCCTCAGAGTCAGTGCAGGCAGTGTGTGTCCTCAGAGTCAGTGTCTGTCCTCAAAGACAGTGTGTGTGTGTCCTCAGAGTCAGTGCAGGCAGTGTGTGTCCTCAGTCAGTGTGTGTCCTCAAAGTCAGTGTGTGTCAAACTAAAGCTCATTATAGAAACCACATCATGGGATTCTAACATTTCTCAAAAGGCGTCTTCACTTCAGTTCCACTCGTCTTGTAAGTAAACAGAAGATTCAGATCTTGTGGCCCCGAGTTATTTATCTGGTTCACACACATTATTATATCGTGGTCACGTAATACAGTATATACCAAATGCTACCAGGGGGCGCTGTAACTTACACATGGACACAATCCAGAAGTTTCACCAGCAGCTGGAACTGTTTCTTTTATTCTGATTTTTATTATACAACAGTTTGATCCTCGTCACAATCACAGTCAGGCTAAGTGTGACCACTCAGCCTGACTGTGATTGTGACCTCTTGAGCGAGGAGCGTTTGTTTTGATGCTGTGAACCTCCCTGTTCACACACACCGGTATCATGAAGCGTTTAAAAGCACTGTAATGCTCCTTTAAATATGAAATTCATGTGTATGTGTTGACTGTCTGTCCAGGTCTCCGGTGGAGCTGTTTAGTGATTACAGCGTCAAAGACATGACCTTTAATCCCCCGGTAGCTCTGCCCCGCACCAAGAAGAAGGTAGAGAAATCAAACTCACCTTTAAACTGCTGTTCACATCCAAACATCTACTAATTAAGTTTCATTCATCAGGATCGATTCACAGATGGAGCCACACTGCTGGACCCCGAGCTGCAGAGACGAGTCAACAGTGTCCTGAACATTACTGAGGAGACGCCGCTGGACTTTAATGCAACACATACACCGAGCCAACACTGACACTACACACACACACACACACACCACACACACACACACACACACAGACACACACACAGACACAGCAGGACATTGATTTCCTTTAAACAAATAAACGGTGAGTTCAGAGACACACATTCTCTGAGCTGCAGGACTGAGACATGTTTCCTGATCCAGAACAAAAAACAGAGTAAACCTGATGAGGAACTTTCAGTATTTCTGGAACTACACATCCCACGATGCTTTGTAAGAGAAATGTGAGAAACACCTCAGGTGACAATGTAAACTAGTTTGTTTTCTGTTGAAATGAAAAGTTTCATTTATACAATAAAAGTTTTCCATCAAAGAAAAGTGAAGTTTTGTTTTGGTCTGTGTGGTCATGTGTTTCTGTAGCTTCAGCTTCCTGTTTGTTGGACAGGAAGTGGAGACGTGCTGAATATATAATAGTATGTGAATGTGTGTATATATTAATAATAGATATGATGTCCCAGCTGCTGTGACGTTTATAGACCACCAGATGTCACTGTGCTGCTGCGTTTGAAGTTTACAATAATCTGAGTTTCTGTGACGTGTAAAGTAATTTCCTGTCGGAGCAGGAAGAGTCTATATAAGGTAGTGGGGGCGTGGCCAGGATCTCAGTCTAAGGGGGCGGGACTGAGCTGATATAAAGACGGCCGGTGGGCGTGTCTAGCTCAGACTGAACCAGGTGTGATGATGACGCTGCTGCAGCCGCTCTGGTCCGTCCTCTTGGGACACGCCTCCGTCCTGCGCTCACCTGTCTTCCCTGTCGTCTTCTCTCTGTCTGTCTACCTGTCCTTCTGTCTTCCCTTCGTGCTGCTCGACCTGCTGTCCTCCAGGTGGGCCCTGGTGCGCAGGTACAAGCTGCAGCCGGAGAGCTCCGTCAGCTGGGCCTCAGTGCGGAGCTACTTGATGCTGACGCTCTGTAACCACCTACTTTTCATTCTGCCGCTCACCGTGCTGTACTCTTACCTGCGGCCCCTCCCACTGCCCGAGGAGGCCCCGCCCCTCCCCCGGCTGCTCGCTCAGGTGTTCGTTTGTCTCCTGCTCTTCGACTTCCAGAGCTTCACCTGGCACCTGCTGCACCACAGGGTCGCCTGGTTGTACCACAACTTCCACAGGGTGCGTACCTGTCCACCTGCACTATCCACTTTTTATCCATTGATGTTTCATTCCTGATAGATAAGAATGAAAATGTAATAAATCAATAATGAATCTGTTTCTTCACTGTCTCCAGGTGCACCACACCTCCAGCTCCACCTCTGCGCTCACCACACAGTTCTCCGGAGTCTGGGAGACTCTCAGTCTCGGCGTCTTCGCCGCCGCCACTCCGGCGCTGCTGGGCTGCCACCCGCTCACCGAGCTGATGTTCTTCCTGGTCAACATGTGGCTGTCGGTGGAGGACCACTGCGGCTACGACCTGCCCTGGGCCACGCACCGCCTGGTACCACTGGGGCTGTACGGCGGCGCCCGCCACCACCACCTCCATCACCTCAAGTCCAAGTGCAACTACGCTCCCTACTTCACACACTGGGATCTTCTGGCAGGGACTCTGATGAACTGATGATGAAGATAAACTGATGATGATGAACTGATGATGAACTGATGATGATGAAGATGATGAACTGATGATGATGATGAAGATGAACTGATGAAGACGTTGGTCAACGTCTTGACCTGAAGTTTCTGGAGATGT